AGTTGGCCGTGTCTAATGGACCCCAATTAACATCACACCATCTGCACCTTCTGGTGCCCTGGCTTGGTCCTGACTTATTTCTTAGCGGCATTACGTGTTTCTAAAAAGGATTTATTGGTTTTCCCCCCCCCCACAACTAACCCTCTTTTAATAGCAACGCTGAGCCACAAAGATTTCAGTACAAAATTCTGCCGCATTTGCAACAAGACATCAGCCAAGAATAAGCTTTAAATAATAAATGGGAATTATTTTTTCCTCTAGAGAAGCCAAAGCATGAAATTGCCGAATCTATGAAAGCTGACCAAAAAAACCCTGAAAATCGAGAGGAGCTCAGAAGAAAGCTAATGCTCCTAACTGCGGATGGCGGCAGCACCAGCAGCCCAAGCCTCTCCCATGAGCATCCTCTCGGAGGCCTGCTGCGAGGGGCTTTCGGGAGATTTGCTGCTGTCGGTTGTGCAACCTATTGCTCACCTGGAACCTGACTGCACTGCTAACGAGGCCGAAGGCTGACTTTTACAATGGTGACTCCTGTTGGCCACTCTCTCTCCCTGCTAAGCACGCTAACACTAATCATTAGCTGGGGTTTTTTTCTGTTGTGATTGGAGCAGCATTAATTGCCTCCCACATTGCTGCCACTAATTAGTCTCAGTGCCCTTATTAAATCAAAACTGGTTGTTTGCACTCTCATCCCGGACATTCAGCAAACAGTCTCAAGCAAGCTTTCAGCAAGCAGATGCCTTCTCCCATGAATAAAAGGGGGTTCTGGTTTCAGATCAGCCCTTTGGAGCTGGTCAGGATGCAACTGCGGAAAGAGTCACAGACACAGAGCATTACTGCAGCTGCAGAGCAGCAAACTAGATCCTGCTGCCTCGCGCATCGTCAGGCAAGTTCTGGTGCCGGGAACTTAACGGACAAAACAAGAGGAACGGATGCAGGGAAGGCTCTTCTGTTTCCTGCTACCAGGTCTAAGGGCATTTGGGAGAGTTACATCTGAACCAGATAAGAGCGCTCACAAAGTCACCAGCAACGCTGCTTTAATATTAGTGAATTACTAACAGAATGTCAGGACTCAGCTGCACGCTATCTTAAGGCTACAGCAAAACAACCTGATAAACGAGTGTAAAGCCAGTACAGAAACGCTTTTCCTCCAAGGCTTAGAATCTGGTATGAGCGAGGTGGAGAGACGCGGGAAGGCTGCTCCTGAAGGGAGCCTGGGAGAAGGCTCCCGCACCTACGGCAGCGAGCAGACGTCATGCCACACCAGCAAACGAAGCAGGGGACTGCAGAGAGGAGACTCACGAGCAGCAGCCTGGAGCTATGCCACCGTGGGGTTTTAAAATCTAGTTTCATAAGGTCTTTGCTCTGTAACTAAATAGCTCCTGTAAACAGCTTAAGGGCTTACTGATACGCAAGCTGTCCCCTCCCGCCAGGCTGCGGAGGAGCCCCGGGGAGGCTCAGAGGGACGCGGGCTCCCGGACCCCGGGATGGACCCCGGGATGGAACCATGGGATGGAACCATGGGATGGACCCCTGGGATGGACCCCGAGACCAATTCCCCAGGATGGACCCCTGGGATGGACCCCGGGATGGAACCATGGGATGAAACCATGGGATGGAAGCATGGGATGGACCCCGGGATGGACCCCGGGATGGAACCATGGGATGGAACCATGGGATGGACCCCTGGGATGGACCCCGAGACCAATTCCCCAGGATGGACCCCTGGGATGGACCCCGGGATGGAACCATGGGATGAAACCATGGGATGGAAGCATGGGATGGACCCCGGGATGGACCCCGGGATGGAACCATGGGATGGAACCATGGGATGGACCCCTGGGATGGACCCCGAGACCAATTCCCCAGGATGGACCCCTGGGATGGACCCCGGGATGGAACCATGGGATGAAACCATGGGATGGAAGCATGGGATGGACCCCGGGATGGACCCCGGGATGGAACCATGGGATGGAACCATGGGATGGACCCCTGGGATGGACCCCGAGACCAATTCCCCAGGATGGACCCCTGGGATGGACCCCGGGATGGAACCATGGGATGAAACCATGGGATGGAAGCATGGGATGGACCCCGGGATGGACCCCGGGATGGAACCATGGGATGGAACCATGGGATGGACCCCTGGGATGGACCCCGAGACCAATTCCCCAGGATGGACCCCTGGGATGGACCCCGGGATGGAACCATGGGATGAAACCATGGGATGGAAGCATGGGATGGACCCCGGGATGGACCCCGGGATGGAACCATGGGATGGAACCATGGGATGGACCCCTGGGATGGACCCCGAGACCAATTCCCCAGGATGGACCCCTGGGATGGACCCCGGGATGGAACCATGGGATGAAACCATGGGATGGAAGCATGGGATGGACCCCGGGATGGACCCCGGGATGGAACCATGGGATGGAACCATGGGATGGACCCCTGGGATGGACCCCGAGACCAATTCCCCAGGATGGACCCCTGGGATGGACCCCGGGATGGAACCATGGGATGAAACCATGGGATGGAAGCATGGGATGGACCCCGGGATGGACCCCGGGATGGAACCATGGGATGGAACCATGGGATGGACCCCTGGGATGGACCCCGAGACCAATTCCCCAGGATGGACCCCTGGGATGGACCCCGGGATGGAACCATGGGATGAAACCATGGGATGGAAGCATGGGATGGACCCCGGGATGGACCCCGGGATGGAACCATGGGATGGAACCATGGGATGGACCCCTGGGATGGACCCCGAGACCAATTCCCCAGGATGGACCCCTGGGATGGACCCCGGGATGGAACCATGGGATGAAACCATGGGATGGAAGCATGGGATGGACCCCGGGATGGACCCCGGGATGGAACCATGGGATGGAACCATGGGATGGACCCCTGGGATGGACCCCGAGACCAATTCCCCAGGATGGACCCCTGGGATGGACCCCGGGATGGAACCATGGGATGAAACCATGGGATGGAAGCATGGGATGGACCCCGGGGTGGACCCCTGGGATGGAACCCTGGGATGGACCCCTGGGATGGAACCATGGGACGGAACCCTGGGATGGAACCCTGGGATGGACCCCTGGGATGGAGCCCAGACCAATCCTCCAGGATGGACCCCCGGGATGGAACCCCGGGACGAACCCCGGGCCCGATCTCCAGGATGGAGGCTTGGGACCGATCACCTGGGATGGAGCCCTGGGATGAAGCCCTGGGATGGACCCCGGGATAGACCCCAGGACGAATCCCCCAGGATGGACCCCCGGGGACGGACCGTTGGCAGGATCTTGCTAGCACTGACGCCTCCACAGCACTGGTCTGTTTGTGTCCTGGTGTGCCTCCTCTGTCACGGCTTTGCCCGGGTCACTGCTGTCCCCGGGAGCCCATTGCCGGTCACCCACTACCCATCACCCATCGCCCACCTTTGCACTGGCCCATCTGACCACCACGTCCAGGCCGAACACTGGTGCACCACTTCCCCCCCAAACTCTTTCCAGCCCAGGCGGGAACCCCCCAAGAAGCCCCCTCCTCTGGGAGTCCCATATTGCAGCAACCAGTGCCACTAAATCCTGCAGTCCCCGTGCACCGGTGAGCCCCCACCCGGGGCACCAAGCCCTGCTCCCGGCCCACGGGGGGTTCCCCCAGGTTAGGTCCCCGGGAACGGTCCCATTGCCCTGCGGAGAACGGCCGCGTCCCGCTCCCCCCCAGCGTGGAAATCGGGCAGAGCCAGAGCAGGGGCCTGGCCCCACGCCGTGCCCCACAGCGGACACGGTGACCTGGCGCGTGGCCGGGGGGGCGCGGGGGCGAAAAAAGGCCCCCACTGCCCTGGCCGGGGGTCGGAGCCCCTCCTGCTGCCCTGGGGATGCGGGTGTCAGCCCTGCAGCGCATCGCCCCCTTCCCTCTTCCCCAGCCAGCGCTGTCTCCGTGCTGCCCTAGGGACGAGAGGATTTTTCCACCTGGCCAAGCCAGTATGGAGACCCCAGCACGAGGCTGAGAGCGGCGAGGCTTGGGGCGTGCTCGGGTTGTGACACCCCACCAGGGCTGGTACACTTGCTCCTGCAGCTGAGCCCAGCGCAGAGACACCCCTCACCCATCCTGCCCACCCTGCCACCCCGCAGGGGTGCGGGGATGGAGGGGTGCAGAGATGGAATGCTCCGCAGACGCCCCCCCTCCCAGTGATGGGGGAGTTTATTCCACCCAGAAACCACCAACAACCAAATCCAGCCCGTGGTTACACAATAAAAGCCAGGCTTGCGGCCGCCACAGCCCCC